CTGGCCAAGGCCAGCGCCATCATGGGACCAGCCTCCCCAGGGAGGAGGACGCTAGGAGGCCTGGCCCCCTGGCTTCTGGACAGTCTCCATGTCCTGCTGCAGCACAGCACAAGGATTGGAGAAGCCACACAGGTGCCCTCGATGGCGGGAGCCACACAGAATGTCTGCTCACAGGGTTCTCGGTGACCTGTGGGGGTGCGCGTATGTACTTCACCACCATCCGGGGGGCTATCCAGGGTCACTCTCTCTGCTGCCCTGTGCCACGTTCCCAGTGACATCTGCTTTGGAGTAAGAGCATTGCCAGAGCCCGGCTTTTATCAGTTTGGGCACATGGGAGGCTCCTGTGATGGAGGGGACAGATCTACTATTGGTGTCACACTGACCTTACGTGTGGTTTTGACACATCAGTCTGCAGGCCACCATCTGGCCTGGCACAGTGTAGGAGCAAGGTCACTGTCAGCAGCCTGGCTGCACCTCACCGATTGGGGAGTGGGGGCTGCTTGTGGGGGCTGATGATTGGAGCCTGGGGTACTACTTCTCTATTCATCTTTCAAGTCCCACCTTGACCCTCCTTTCCCAGGAAGCTTCTTAAAGTTCTCCTTAGTTCACAGCCCTTTCCCCATTGTCTCCCTTTGTTTTCACTGGTATTGCTCTTACTGGTTGAATTTCTGCATCGCTGCTGGCTCATCGGCTCTGGAAATCCAGGCATCTCGGAATCACTCATCACTGTAACTCCAGTGCTTAGCACCGGGGTGCTGAAACTGAAAACTGACAAATACTTTCACTTCTTAACTTCCACCACCTCTCCCTTCCCCCCAAACTACCATCTACCTTTGAGGTGATGACTAAGGCAAAAGGACAATGACCTTGGTCCCCTCTGACCAGCCCCCAAGTTAAAGCTAGTTGTGTTGTAACAGACGGGGATGATGTAACCCTGGCCTTTGAGATTCTTGTGTAGCTCAAGTGTCAGTAGGGCCCCAACATCCTTGAAGGGACAAATAAAATTGGGTGATACATCCTACCCTGGCATAACGAGGCCCCGGCCAACTGCTTGATCTCAATGGGGCTTCTTGAACATTAGTTATTTTTCTGGGTCCTCAGCGCTCTGTTTTCCTGCTTCCTGGATCTCTGCCACCTCTGCCGGTCTCATCTCACAGCTGACCTGCAGTGAGTTTTGGCTCCCTTAACTTTTTCTAAATAGCACTCATTCAAATCCATTCAGTGTCACATAGCTCATTAAAGATTCAGCAGCAGTGTGTGGGAGTGAGAGCTTATAGAGACAACAGCACAACGGAATAAATTGACTATTTGACATTAATGGGCTTAAAGTCCTCTGGGGCCCCTGTCCCTGGGCTCCTGGAGAGTGTTCCCTCTCTTCTCTGTTAGCTGCTGACTCCACTTCTTGGTCCTCTCACCCAGGCTTTCCAACCTCCTCATCTCCACACTGGCTCACCTCTTCACTTCCCATTCTCATTTTTTAACCACAAAAGTGGCTCCTTTTTAAAAGCTACTTTATTTTTGGTGATGTTTTCCATGTTTATTGAAGTATAATGGAAATACACTAAATTGCACATATTTCCAGTATGGAACTGTATCTGTTTTGCTGTATGCACAGCCCGGAAACCACCACATCTCAAACAAGGTTTCTATCCCTCCCCTTTGCAAGTATCTTTGTGCTCTTTGGAATCCATTCCTCCTTCCATCCCACCCGCTGGCACCTACCATCACTGATGCGTTCTCTTAGATATCACTTTGTATTTTCTCATGTTTTCCATGTATGGATCATGCAGTACCACTAAGGTTTTTGTCTTGATGGCCCCCCAAGTTTCCATGCAATTGTGGGTATTCATTTATGGCTAAATGCGCTGTTGGGGGTGGGGTCTGGTTGGAGAATCTTCTGTGTCTTCCTCACTGGGAGCCAGAAGACTCTGCACTGAAAACATAAGTCAGGGTTAATCTCTCCTCTCCTAAATTATGGGTGCCTGGGGGATTGTGTTCCAGTGATGAGAAAGTATCTAAGATGAGTATCTTCTCTCTTTTTCTGGCTTCTTTCTCTTAGTGTATGGGGTTTGAGACTCTTAAATGGTGGTTTTTACATTAGTTTGTCTTTATAACTGAGCAATATCTCATTGTATGTTCATACCCCAATTTGTTTATTACTGTGTTTGCTATATTAGTCTGTTTTTTGTTACTACAATGAAATACCTGAGGTTGAGTACTTAAAAAGAAATAAGTTCACTATTCTTCAACCTTAAGGGCATGGTACTAGCCCTCTGGTAAAGGCCTCATGGTAGATCACATCGCAAGGTTGAGAGAGGGAGACATAATATCATTAGATGAGAAGCCAAAGCAAGAGGAACCAGTTTTGTTGTTCTAAACAACTCTTTTGGAATAACTTACAAAAGGTCCTGAAAAACTACCACAATCCTTCTGAAGGCAGTGCCCCAGGGACAGAACACTGAGCCGATCTCCAAAGGTGATGGGCTCCCAGCATCGCCACAGTGAGGTCTAAACTCCCAATACCAACGTGAGTGCCCAGGGACAAACCCAGATCATATCCAATCACAACACTGCCCATGGATCTGAAGTGTTTGATTCTCAACTAGAACAGTTTCCCATGTGTAAGTCACAGTGCGCACATACAGCCACGTGTACGAGACTTTGAGTTTCTTAGAGTTTTTTTTCTCTTTTTCTACAGTAGTGGGAATTGAACCCAGTGCCTCTGCATGGAGCTACATATCCAACTTTATTTATTTATTTACTTATTTATTTCGAGATGGGATTCTCTAAATCCTTAAATGTGTAGGCTGGGTTTAAACCTGTGATCCTCTTGCCTCAGCCTTCCAGAGTGCTAGGATCAGAGCTGTGCACCACTATAACAGGCTTCATGCGTTGCTTTCTCTTAAAATGCCTATGAAATACCTATGTTATATGGTCTGTGTACAATTAAGAAACGACCACACTGATGTTCAAAGTGGTTACACCAGCTTACATTCCCACCAGCAACTTATGAATGTTTCATTTTCTCTGTGTGCTCTACTGAGTACCAATACTTGATAAGCTGAGACACTTTAAAATTGGGAGTGTGTGCTTGTGTGTTGTGCATGCACATGTGGATGTGTATTTGACATGCTGCTGAACTATCCTCTGGTTTCATTTTTCTTTTTTTGCTCTGTTTACTTTTGTTCTCTCTTGGTTTCATTTTTAACATGGGGAGCATATGTTTAGGTTTGTGGAGAATAACACCAGCTTATATTTTTGTTCCACTAAGCTATTAATAGTGTCCCTCATAATACCAGTGCTCTGGTTTGGGTACATACATGATTTCTCTGCTCCTTGCCCACACAGCCATGCCCCAAGCCATTTGGCCAAAGCACACCACCACATCTGACCCAGCTAGGATTACTGTAGTTTTTCTGTTTTTGTTTTGCTTGGTTTTGTTTCTTTTGAGGCAGGGTCGTGGTGTAGGGTGGCTTTGAATTCATGTAGCACAGGCTGGCCTCAGACTCACCACAGCAATCCTGCCTCAGCCTTCCAAGTGCTGGAATCGTAAGTGTGTGCCACCACACCTGCCCTATTTCTCTGCTATTCTTAAACTTTCTCTTTTTTCCAGAACACAGCAGGATTTCAGGGAGTGGAGTGACAGCCTAGAGTTTGGGTGGGAGTGGTCTGGTGGGGCCAGAGCTGTACATTCTTGCTGTCAAATGAGAATACCCTCCCAGAAGACAAAGCCAACAGAGAGGCAGGTGGAGTTCGGCTTAGGGAGTGAAGTGATACCTGAGGACATAGAGCTGCCTGCAGCCAGGCTCCTTTCTTAACTTTCCCCTAGGGATCCAGGAAATGCCTGTCTTATGTCAAAGCTAGTCTGACCTGTGTCACTGTCCCTTGGAATTATGAGGGTCCTAATACTTGTAACAAGGGACTGGGCTTCAGGAAGACAGTAGCATTTTTGCCGAGCTGGGTTGTCTGGCTTTTGCCTTTTTATGTGAGTTGCTGCTTTTGCCACCCTGGTTTCCGTTTGGTCACACAGTTTGGACCTCTACTGCTTTAGAGGATGCTAAAAGCCCGGGGTCAAAGTATTCAACGGTAGGCATTACCGAAGGGTTTGTTTAATCGAATACTCTAGCTCCAGGTATCCACTCTTGAGTGGTGAGCTCTTTAATCTTTAACTAAGTTATCATTTTGCAACGCGATCCAAAAATCAGGGAAGCAGCCCGCATTTCTCAATAGCATTTCCTTCCTTTTAATGGTTAGATTTCATATATAGAAAAATATGCCCTTATTGCTGTGCCCAGGCCTACAAAGATCTATATGGACCCCTGAGAAGTGCGAGCCTCTCTGGAACCTCCTGGAACCTCCTGGTCCTGGCGTGGTAGACGCCGCAAGGGGGACATTTCGGCCTTCGTCCGCACCCGGCAGACTGACGAAGCGCAGCGCGGCAGGGGTTGCTGGGGCAGACGCTGCACAACCTGGGCTCTGCGCAGCGAGGGCCGAGCCCGCCTCTCCACAGCCCCGCCTCCCCATAGCGCCGGCCCTCCAAGCTTCGCCCGCCCCTCGCCACCCTCGCACGTCCTGGCCCCGCCTCCCATGCCCCGGCCGGCTCACCCTCGGGTTCGCTTTCCGCCGGGTCGCCGGCAAGCCCTACCTCCTGCAGCCCAAGCCCTGCCCCACGTTCCTGCACTCCCCCTCCACCCCCGCACGCCCCGGCCCTCCTCCACGCTCCGAGGCTCCGCCTCCCGCGCCCCACAGCCTACCCCCCGCGTTCAGTTTCTCCACACCCGCGCGTCCAGGCCGCGGGCTGGCGCTCCCGCGCTCCGCCCCCGCGCCCTTGGGCTCCGCCCCGCGCTCTAGAGTCGCTCTCCGCCCTGGGCGGCCTGGCCCCGCCCCGCGCCCTCGCAGCACTCGGCTCCCAAGCCTTCGGAGCGCCGGGAGGCGGGGCAGGGGCGGGGCGGGCTCGGGAGGAGGCGGGGCTGCGCGGCGGCGCGGTCTGCGGCCGGGACTCCGGCTTTGACACCGCGACGAGCAGCCGCCTGGTGCAGGCGTGGGGTCGGGTCGCGCTCCCTCGGAACCACGCCGAGCTGGGTGCGGGCCCTTTTGCCCGGGTAAGCGCGGCGGGCAGTCTTGGCGCAGCCTAGGCGGCTGCCTTTCTCCTACCTGGGGAGCGGCGCCGCGTCGGTCCTGCAGGCAGCGCAGGGACTCGGCCCGCGCGTTCCTCAGGGCGGACCCTTGGAGCTCCGAGAGGGGGCGCGACCCTGATCCCCTCGCAGGTCCATCCTGCGGGCTGGAGTTTCCGAGGTGCATCCTCTTCTGTGATGTGCCCAAACCGAGGGCGGAGGGCTGGGAATAGTAAGGGGGGAGGCCTCCCCAGGACCCCAGGGAGACTACCCAGCCTCTGCGAGTCTGCGCTCTCTTGCCGCTGCAGTCCTTGCTCCGAGCTCCTGGGCGCGAACTCCGAACTCTTGCGTGTGTGGGGAGCGCTAGTGGCACATCAGTTCAAAGGATTTGTGTGTTCCTCTCTTCCCTAGGTGGTCAAGGAAAAGGTGATTTGGATCCTCAAGACATGGGAGAGTTGGTGTTTGTCTGCAAACATCAAAACCTAAGTCCTGTATCTGCCATTCTTCTGGCCTTGTGAGCTCCCCTGTCGTGGGGATACCTTCTGGGGCCCCACCCTTGGCCGACCATGGGGAGCACCCTGGGCTGCCACCGCTCCATCCCCAGAGACCCTTCTGACCTGTCCCACAGCCGCAAGTTCAGCGCAGCCTGCAACTTCAGCAACATCCTGGTGAACCAGGAGCGACTCAACATCAACGCGGCCACCGAGGAAGAGCTGATGACTCTGCCTGGGGTGACCCGGGCTGTGGCCCACAGCATTGTGGAGTACAGAGAATACATCGGCGGCTTCAAAAAGGTGGAGGACCTGGCACTGGTCAGTGGCGTGGGCGCCACCAAACTGGAGCAGGTCAAGTTTGAGATCTGTGTGAGCAGCAAGGGCAGCTCTGTGCAGCACTCTCCCAGCTCCCTGCGGCGGGACCTGCTGGCTGAGCAGCAGCCTCATCACCTGGCCACCGCTGTGCCTCTCACGCCCCGGGTCAACATCAACACGGCCACCCATGCCCAGCTCATGAGTGTTCGAGGCCTCACAGAAAAGATGGCCCTCAGCATCGTGGATTACCGCCGTGAGCACGGCCCCTTCCGCAGTGTAGAGGACCTGGTGAGGATGGATGGTATCAACGCTGCCTTCCTGGACAGGATAAGGCACCAGGTGTTTGCCGAGAAGTCCAGGCCCCCATCCACCCACACCAACGGGGGTCTGACCTTCACCGCCAAGCCTCACCCCAGCCCCACCTCACTGAGCCTGCAGAGCGAGGACTTGGACCTGCCACCAGGGGGGCCCACGCAAATTATCTCCACGCGGCCCTCAGTGGAGGCCTTTGGCGGCATGAGGGATGGGCAGCCAGTGCTGAGGCTGGCCACCTGGAACTTGCAGGGCTGCTCTGTAGAGAAGGCCAATAACCCTGGCGTGCGAGAGGTGGTGTGCATGACACTCTTGGAAAACAGGTGAGTTGAGAGCTACCAGGGGTGCTGGGCAAACGTTTTGGTGGTGGGTAGAGTTTGTATCCTCATTTGGGAGCCTGGAGGGGGCAAGAGTATTAAATCCTGCTCTCAGAGCTTGAGCCAGTACTGTCACCTGAGAGTGGGCTCTCTTACTGATCTGCAATTTTCTGAACACAGCTGTTAGGGCTTGAGGTATGTACTGTGAGTATGGTGGGTCTGAGATAGACCTTAGCTTGGGGTAAGTGGAGTGTGTGTTGGTGCCACTGCTTTGGAGAAGGTTGATTTCCAGAACTCCACAGTATTTGTAGAAACAGGGACTCAGCCTGGAAAATGGTGTATAGTTTGCATGTGAGAAAGAACTAATCAGATTTTTTTTATTCATGGAAGGAAAAAATCGTATTTGTTCCACCAAATACACCTATTCACGTTCACAGAATTATCTGTAAGTCAAGGTATTTGCAAACCCATACCCCATCTATAGTTACCAAAATGCTGTGAAAGAATTGTTCTATGCTTTCTCCTTAGTTAATCTTAAGTTGGGTTTTAGTGTTACATCTTCTGACCATTGCTAGAAAAGCCCAAGACCAGCCAGATTTCCCCATTTGAATCAAAGAGAGACTATAGGATAGGCTGTTATCTGAGAGTGTTTACGTTGTTCACGGCCCTGGTCTCTGTAGGAACTTCCGTTAATTCCCCATAAAACAAAACACTGTGTCTTAGCAGGAACTCCTGCTGTTGATAAAACAGCTTGCGCTATAATGTAGTCTGTTTTGAGAAGGAAAGAAGTATTTGTATCAGCTTCTTCCAGGTCAGAAATCCTCTGATGCTGTTTTGGAGGGATTCTTGCCGACATTCGCCAGAGGTGCTATGATTGTGACTACTCACTGTCTTGTCCTCTGCACTGGGTAGGTAGCTGGTGAGGCTGGCTGGGTGACAATTTGGTGACACGAAGTGAGCTCTCTGTGGGAAATCACAGTGCATCGTGGCAGATGATCAGGACAAATTAGCAAGGAGAAAAGCAGGTCACAGCATTTCCCTGGCACTGTCCCAGTGACATGCTCTTGTCACTGAGAGAAGGACTGCACACTGGGTCAGAGAACTGGACCAGGGAGGCTGGGAGTGCTCTTCCTGAACTGCTGGGTCCTCAGCTTGGCCCTCTAGTTCACTCCTGCATAACTGTCTTGTGCACACCAACACACTTGTGCCCAGGGACTTAGCTGTGGCCGCACTTTTCAGAAATGACTTGATTATAGTCGTTATCTGCAGCAGCACAGGTGAACGGATAAGTGGGGGGAGGGTAGTGAGGAACACAGATACCTCCTATGAAGCAGGAATTTTCTCAGGGTTCAGTTTGAGATAAAGAGGGATGAATCTGGATCTGAAGTTGCCCAGCAGAAATGACAACTCAGGCAGCCTTGGCCTGTTCAGTTTTGTAAGTGTTCTCTCAAGCATGGTCCTGGACCAGCACCATCAGTTACTAATTCAGAAACTCTGGTTCCTGTGTTTAATGCCCCTCTAGGGGCTTTGGCTGCACACTAGAGTTTGGGTACAAGGACTTGGCCAATCATGGCTCCTCCGAGCTTCTCACTGAAGCCCCTTGCACTGAGCTGGCTTGTCTGCAAGACCAATGACAGTGTTTCAGGTACTTATTCACATTCTTGGCTGGTTCTGATTATCCCTGTAGCTCCACCCTGTGATGTTCTTTCTGGTCAGGGTTGAAGAGGCTGATTCAGCTTCTAGGACTTGTGAATGAGAATGGTGGAAAATGGGAGGCTGAGAGTCTGGTGGGCTGGTGCATGCCTGCAGCCTCAGTGGCCCAGGAGGCTGAAGCAGCTGGGCTCACCCTGCATTGCAGAGATGGGACCACCAGGGCTTCACAGGAAGGAGCCCTAAGCACTCCTGCCCAGTGCAGCCTTGTCCTACTTCTTTTCTACGGATTTCCTAAAGCAGGGATGATGTATTGAAGACGTTTCATTGCTGTCTCAGGTGAGACTAGGAAAAGCTCACAGGAAGTAATAGGCTTAGGGTCTGATCCCCCACAGAGCCGGGGTGGGTGAGTGCATTTGCCTGTGTGGCTGTCTCAGGGCACCAAAAGCTGTCAGAGTGGATCACAGGTCCTTGGTGACAGACTGCAGTACCCATTCTCCAAGAGCTGTGTGCTCTTCCTGGTCCACAGACATCTTACATTTTAGCCGCTCCTTTTATTAGCAGGAGGAAACAATTTCGTAGGAGCAAGAATGGATGCAGGTGATTTTCCACAGGGCTCTTATTTCACACATGTATACACGTACTAGAAAAGGTCCCTGATTCCCGGGTGTGCCTTTGTATTTTCTCACAACTGTCACATCCATTTGCTTTCCCCCTTACTTCTGGGGAGTAGGCAAATAATTACTTTTATTAGTGATTCTGTGATTCTGGATGGAAAAACAAAAAGCAGAGAAGGTGGGGACTCTTGTCTGAAACACAGCTCATTAGTGACTCAGCTGGGACGAGGACCTAGACCTTCTAACCTTAGACCAATGCATGTTGCAAGCACATCATGATTGGTGAGTGCAGCGCCTCTGTCCTGCCCCTGGGTTAGGTGTCCCAGCTCCTGCTGAGTTCAGGCCACTTGCCAAATCCTGTGCCAGTTTCTTAGTAAGCTCACTGTGAAGACATTTTTAAAGCAACCCGTAGACAGCTTTGCAAAGGGAATAGCCATTTCCTCACTGTCCTTTCTGCAAGCTTGCTTTAGCAGGTGACTTTTCCTGGCTAAAGGGTACCAGTGTGGGTGGAGGGATGAAGTCTCTTCTTGCCCCAAGAGGCTGCTGCTTTGGCCGATGGTGTGTTTTGCATGTGAAGCCTGAGGTAGAACAGCATAGAGCTAGGTAATTATGAGTCACCAGGGACCCTCAGGAACACCATGTTGGTGGCACAGAACTTATAGATTTCATCAGATTCTTTTGCCAAACCTCAGTCTTAGGCAGTGTTCTTCCTTGTTCAGTATTTGTGGAACAAGCCAGAGAGAGGAATGCTTTTGCTGATTATCCTTGCAAAACATAGTGAGAGTGCATACATGGAATGAAGACTTTTACGACTTTTTTTTTTTTTTTTTTTTGCCAAATAATTATTCTATTTTTCACCCTTTGGATACTGAAAGTCTACTCCATGAGGTTGCTGACAGATAATCTCAAAGAAAAGAAAAGATTTAGCAACCCACTGGCACATTTTCCCCACAGCCTATGTGGGGAGGAAACTCTGGTGTCAAAGTTGTTGGCTTTATAATGGTTTACATCTGCTTTTCTACCACAGCTACAGTATCAGAACGTAAGGTTGGTTAGTGTCTCGCTACACACCCGGTTGTGAAGAAAAGAGATGCTGGTTTTATCAGACTCAATGAGTGGGATCAGTATAGACACAACCCATCTTGTCATTGGACTTATCCATTGAAAAATATGTTGGATGTCTGCTGCGTGTGTGTATAAGCTAAAGTCGGTGTGGCCCAGTTATTTTGCAGAATCAAATACGTGGGCCCATTGGTATGGCCCAGCCTTAGAACAGTCCAGTATGCTGGGTTTTATTGGGCTAAGTCACAGAGTGTGATTGATATCAAGTTGTGTTTTCCTCATATGAGTAACAGGTTCATTGGGCAACTGAAGGATAGATAGATACAGCTGGATAGAACACCTAGAAACAGAATACCCAGTAATCCTCTTAAAGTAGAAGTGGTGCATTTTGATGCCTGTGAAAACTGAGGCCCGGAGGGATTAAATCTCATTGTGTGACCTTGGGAACTGATCGTGTGGGAGCCAGACACCTGCCTGATTACATGTCCTGTTTCTGATCTAGGCAGCCTAATGCCTGCCCATGGTTTCTTCCATGTGGGGTCCTGGGCTGGCCAGCTGCCAGGGCCTTGGGAAGGGAGGGGTTCACCTAGACCCTGGGGACCACCCTAGGCTCTGGAGGCCTTTTCTCCCTTCCTGTGTTTGTTCTTGCAGAGGATGGGGCTCGTGGCCAGGCTTCCAGGGGGTGTCAGGGTCCTTCTACCCTGCCTTCAACTGTGAGTCTGTGACCTTGGGCTTGACTCCAAGGTGGAGTTCCGGCTTCTTGAGCCAAGGAGCTGTGGGTTAATTCTAGAGAGAAAGGTGGGCAGCAGTAAGACTGCTGTGGTGTCCTAGGAATGCTGTGTGTGAAAGGGACCCGCTGGTACGCTCCGCACTGGGTTTATTTCACTAAACAGAAAGGTGTATGTACTTTGCTTTTCAACAAAGTTGGGCCCATTTTGATTTTGACTATGGGAGTTTGATAGTGTTGGTTTCCCTAGGAGGTATCTATTCCTTTACTATTCATTCATTCATACAATAGTTTTGGGAGCCTTCTCCAGGTACCAGCTTGTGTGTCCGGCTCTGGGACTAGCATGAAGAACAGGCCTAGGCTGTGGTCTTCTGGCTTCCATTCTAGGTGGGAGGCAGATGGGTCTACAAGCAGATAAATGACTCTGCGTGGGCACAAGTCCTGCGGGCATGATGGAGGGACACTGCGGAGAAGCCTGTTTGGACAGGAGGGGTCAGGCAGGGCCTGCACTGGACATTGGTGATGAGCGGGGCCAGCAGATGGGTGCAATGTGAGAGGCCTGTGAGGGCCTGGCTGAGCTCTGAGACAAAGGCCTGGAATGGCAGGACCCGAGTACAGAGAGGCAGACCCTGCTCTTTGGGATGCCAGGGCTCTTGTATAAGCAGATGGGGCCACAGAAGGATAGAGGCAGAGGCTGGTCAAGGGGGCTCCTGTATAGAGTTGCATAGAGTTGCATGGAGTTGCGTGAGGTGGCTTTGCACAGGACTCAGAGGTGGTGCTTATGGAAGAGAGGGGCCTTTCTGAAGGTGAAGCTGCATACTTGCCTGTATATGAGAGGGTATGTGGATTAGGCACTGGCCTGTCTGAAATGCCCTGAGGTCCCTTGAAGCCTCCAAGGCATTTAAGAAACATGGGCTGACCTGGTTGACCTCACCCTCCCTGCTGTCCTG